AGTGGTCCGCCCATTGTTTAATCTGTCTTTCTTCCTTGGTAATTGGGTTCCCTTGGCTGTCTTTTATAGGTTTCACTTGTGTTGATCTTTTCCCGGATAGAGACTTGGTTATCTGATATGGTGTCCTCAGGTCCCTTTTGCCTGCTGCCCTCTCAGCTTCAGTGGCCAGGTTGTCGCAGAATTGTCTTTTATCCTTCCTGGCACTCTTCTTCACTTTTTTGTTCAGTGCTGTGTAAGTTGAACCCAGCGTGTCCTTCTCTTGTCCGTCTTTGCATTGAATCATTTTCTCTTTCACCATTCTCCTCTCTTCTATTAGCTTCCAAGTGTCCGTTGAGAACCATTCCTTGTCTTGTCTCTTCTTTCTTCCTAAAACCGTTGAACACGTTTCGTTAAAAATTACTTTCAAAGAGTTCCAATGGTCTTCCATGTATGATTCGGACTGCTGCAACGTAATTTGGGATGTACAATTTTCGGGGGCGACCTTTTCTAACGTTCTCCTCCCAGAGGTGAGAGACAGCATAGCTGACTTGCTATGGTAGTCTGAGAGGAAGAAATACTTCACTGCTGTTCCATACTTATTCGGCAGTATTCGGTACTACATCATCCTCAGGCACATTTTGGTTGTCGCTTTTTAATCTAACCGCTATATCTAAATAACCTGTCTAACCTGGTGGTAGGCCTTGTCAGTGTGTAACTCATTGGGTCACCACATCCAGATTGCAGCTATCGGTTGCATATAATAGGTATTAATAGCAAAATTATGTGGTGATGATGAAAACCCTGACAATTAGAGTACTTCTCATTTCGTTACTAGTCTCCATTAGTATCAAGGTTTTCACTGTGAGGTAGTGTTTGTTAGTTCCCTTATCTATAAAAAGTGTGGCTTTTGTGTTATCTTACATACGCATATGTAATCGTTTTCTGATACATATGTTTGAATTCTTTTATAATATTGTAGTTAGTGTATATTCTTAATATATTTGTGCGTTGAAGTTTCTGTAGCAATTTGGTTAAGTTTTCGTGATGGAGTTGCTAGCACCACGCCCTAACCCTCCCTCTTTATCCGGGCTTAGGACCAGCTAGAAATCTAGGCGAGGTTACTTACAAGCGAAAACCGACAAATGGTCGAAGAAGCAGCAAAGACAGGACTGACTCCAGGTGAACATAGACAAGACGGAGGTTATAAAAATAACCAACCAACCAACCAACCAACAAAAACAACAACAGCGGCAGGAACATCCACCGCCAATCACCATCAACGGGAGGGATTTGAAAGAGGTTACTTCATTCACTTATCTAGCGAGCATTCATTGTCTCAACTACAGGCAGGTGGAACGGACGAGGATGTCAAATTGAGCGAGAATCGGGAAGGCGAGAAACACATTCATCAACCTGAAACCAATCTGGAAATCTTCCACTGTCACTCAACCCAGCCAGCATCAACAACAAAATTCGGATTTTCAATACAAACGTCAAGTCAGTCAAGTCAGTCACTTCTTCTATACGGATGGATCAGAAAGTTAGCGGCGGGTCACAAAGAATGAGTATTTCCAACAGCCTGTTGCACACCTTTATCAACAACTAACTAACTGTCTTCGTTGGCTCTATACTGAAGATCAATCAGATGGCCGCCGGAAAGAACAAGAACCAACAAGAAACAAACTATGGGAAGAAACAAACGAAACAAGAAGCAATCGCCCAACAAACAATATGCAGGAGAAAGTGGAGATGGATTGGACACTCACTCACTGGCTGAGGAGGCCACTCGCTGGGTGACATTGCGCGTCAAGCCAACGCTCGCGTGGAAGCTGAAAGGGAATCGGCGAGTGGGACGTCAGTGCAAGTGTGACATGGAGGAGATTGTGTGAAGAGGAGTTGAAACAGTATGGACTAACATGGACGCAGGTGAAAAGTACAGCAGAAGACAGAAGCAAGTGGAGACGTGTGGTTGAAGCCCTATGTTCCACTAGGAACTCAAGGGAACAATAATAATAGTGTGTACCCTTGTTGATGATGATGACGTTAATCAATAAATGTGATATCTAGGTCAAATGCTTGGTATTTCGTTTACTCGCTGCAAAAGTGTTTAAATAATTCTATTTATTTTCTATTTATCTTTATTATATTCCTTTACAATCCCAGTGGATGTGATAGGGCTTCAAGCTAGAACTTTGAAGTTTCGGTAACAGTGGTGTTTGTTTATGTACGAGGTGGGGTCGCTAGCCTCGTGTCCAACCTTACCTCTTTACCGTTCTTGTTACCGGCTTAGAGATCTATAGGAGGAATGTGTCGGCTGGGGGGATAGAGCCGCGGACCACATACATGGTTGGTTGGCGAGCATTCTCCCGCTAAGCTACCGACGCATAATTCTATACTAATTATTTATTCCTATTTATATGGTTTCCCGTTGAACTACCTGATGAATCGAATTGATCGATCTCAGCTTTTGAGATATGATTCCTTTGAACGAATACGCCTATATTACAAGAACTAACAACTTGGAGTTACTTCTCCTTGGTAGTAGTTACCAGTAGATTCCAGGTCGTACGCTTCATCCTATTTAGGACTCGTCATCTGAATGTATGTATCTACCTCCTGACACCAGTAGTTGAACAGTACCACTCACTGATAAGTCCCCGGATTCTACTGCTGGCCACCAACGCTAACAAACAACCTTTTGGTCTATATTTTAAATTTAAAACAAGATTGGTCACTTTCTTTCCTGCTGTATTTGTTGTTTTAATTGTTCTTTATTTTCACGCTGTACAATCGTATACGTATATGGTTTTTTTAAGAAGTTATATCCGGTGAGGGAATTGAAACATAGGTGTGAATGCATGAAATAATAATAATAATATGAAGTGCAATTAAAACTAAAATGTTTGTGATTATAATCATAGTTAAATGTCAAGTGGCAAAGCAAATTAATCTCACATATAGAATAATTTATAGGATGGATAGAACTTGAAAAAGGGTGTGCAATTATAAGATTAGTAGACAAATCGAATAAAATAAAAATGTTACGTAATATTGTGTGAAATTTGATAGCATAGAATTTAATGTTGTAAAAAGGAATTGATTTAGAATGACAAGTGGAACAAGTGAAATAATACCGGGGACAATTAAAAGTGAGAGTAGTAATAGTAACAATTGACTTAATAAGGAAGAGTATACAAATTGAATAGACAAAAATGAAAAAAATGAAAAATTGGCAGAGTCAAAATATGATTGGGGATTGCCATACTTCAGCATAGAGGGATTAAGACCATGAAAGTTGGAGGGGAGGGGTTGAACGAACTTTTTCTGTACACAGAGATCTGTCTGGCTTTTCTGTTTCGATAACCAAAGATGGCTTCAGTAATACAGATGAGTCGGATGCGTAGTGATTTGGGTAAATTACTCTTTGCCTTGTAGATGACTTTGAAGGCGGAGGCTATAGGGAGATACGGTGATCATTATCGACCAGAGATGTTCAATGATCGCGCTTCTTATTGTTCCACTTCCCCCTCTTCGTAACCATCATGCAGAGGGATAGTGTTCTTGCACCCTCTTGGACAAAACTCGCATTTAATTAATTGCATTTCACATTATTATTATTAATTATATTTTATGCATTCACACCTATGATTCAATTGCCTCACCGGATATAACTTCTTAAAAAAACCATATAAGTATACGATTGTACAGCTTGATGATAAATTCGTTTGATAGTGTGGAAAATTCCCATATTATGAATTAAAAGTCAATCTGAACGAAGAATATTCTTTTCAATAATTTCTCTTCAGGTTCTCACAATTATAAAATATATTTGTTGTCGTTAAAATAAAGGCCAGATATGCAACAGATACATTTTTAACGTAGAATAACAGATTAGTTATGGGTGTCAAAATAAATAGTCGTATTTGTGTGACAAACGTGCTAGGCTGAAATCGATTACAAAATATTGTAAAACGGGAGACAATGGTGGTGATTAATCATAATAGATTTGTAGAGTGTGGGGTAGGAAAATTGACAAGTCAGTTCAAGGTTATAAAAGGTGTCAGGTGAGTGGCTAGTACAAAGTGGTCTGTGTTAAACAGGAGATAGTAAGACTGCAATGGGAGGTTCATAATGAGATAACGAATATGTGAAATGAAACAGGTGGAGGCATATATTGAGAAAAGAGATAATATCACTAATAATAAGTTCGGATAGTATAAACGCAAAAATTCGATAGTGTTGAGAGAATGTTTGGATGAAGGGCATAAATTATGACGAATAATAATAATAATATTAATAATAATATTTGTAATAATAAGCAAAGGAAAAAAAGCTAAGAGGGTTAAGGGGAAGGAGCACTCTTGGTGAGAAGAAGAATCATCAATCCAAGTTTGGTCACGGTAGGAACAGCGTCTGGGCGTGTTCTTTTTGGATACAAAGTTCCGGTTTAGTCGACCCTATTGCAACAGCTTCAGCTATGTGTAGAAGACGTAAGCAAACTGTACGTGATAACGACTTCGGAATTCGGTATATAACCCTGAAAGCTGTGTTGACATCGATACGATGTCCAGTATCGACCAAGTGTGACAGGATCGAGCTTTTTATGCACTTAATTTCCCCCCTGCTGAACCAAGCTGTTAAATGTTCTCAAACCCGTAGACGAACCTGCCTAATCGTGCGCCCTATACAACTTGAACCACAGGAACAGTTGAAATGGTATATGCATGAAGAAGAGCTAAACTTAGGTAAAACATCTTTGAGTTGCTGGGTGAACATTGGACGGCTACTGAAGGATAGACACAGACGTGCAGAGTAGAAAGTTTTCTTGATCGCCCTTATTGTAACGACAACAAATATTATATTTTATAATTGTAAGAACCTGAAGAGAAATTATTGAAAAGGATAAATTCGTTGTTGAAAAGAGTCTCTTCGCTGAATCATTAGTTTTGACGTTTTTTTTATTTCTCTTCTCTTTTTGTTTTGTTCAATCTTTTTGATAAAATTTCATAATGGAATAATAGTCAAAGCATAATAACAATAATAATAATAAACATAATATTAGTAATGACTATCCAAATGAAAATGATGTAAATCAAATAATATTGACCAATAATGATGTAACTACTGCTAGTAATACGAATGATCATACCGAAGAATCATCATATAATCTCTTATCTGATGTTCTAATCAATTGGACGGATAATTATTATCAGTATGCCTCTTCAACAAGTTGTTACAAGGATATTGATGATGATGATGACATTGTCACTGATGATGGTGATGTTGGCGGTCGTCAGCAAGACATCGAACATGATGTTCATCCCTACAATGAGAACTACCATCACCACCATCAGAGTAGTAGTAGTAATGAAACAGATTCACTCATAACATGTCAAGATATTGGTTTCTCTGATGATTTGCTCAATTTTACTGATTTAATGACTACAACAACAACATCATTGTCACTGTCACTGTCACCACCACCACGACCATCCAGAGAAACAACACCTCTGCCATTATATCTTTCTGCGTATACTGACGAGGATCTAAGTCTTTTATCAAATGAATTGATGGTGAGTAATGATACTGCTACTACTACCACTACGACTGTTGCTGCTCCTGCTGCTGCTGTTGGCAATGACAATGAAAAGGATGTCGGTGATGTGATGCATGGAATGAATGACACTGATGATCACTACTATTGTATACCGACGAATTATAATCCTGTAGAACAACTATCCTCGTTTGATTCATCGCATGATTCATATACTCAAGAGTATATCAATGAGGATAAAATCTTATCAGTTGATTTCAATGTTCATACAATATCTAATAGTGATAGATATACTGTTCATATTGATCATGGTAATGCTAATACTACTAATAATAATGATAATGGTAATACAATCAATACCAGTAATAATGCCAATACTAATCGTGTTGCCGGTGCTGTAAGCATGACACAAAACAATAAAAAGTGAGTTTATCTTCTTCTTCGTTTTTTGTGTCCATGCGCTTTATTTTGTGTGTGTTTGTGTATGTGTATGCGTGTCCTCCGTCCCTAACTGAGGTTACTAAAGCTGTCACTCGTCTGAAACATGGCAAAGCAACAGGATCTGATGGAATTGTAACAATAGAAGACAAGGGACAGGCAACAGATCGTTTATTAAGGAAAATCAACACATATTTATAGATTTTAATGTACATTATTGTAGATTATTGTTAGTAGAAAATACAGTCTTCTGATTGATGGTTGTTTCTCACAGAAAGTTAACGTTGCATCTCTTTGTGGCTGTGTCAGATCATCTATATGCTAACTGTATCCGCCTACGCAAAGCCTTAGTTGTCATTTTCTCGCCACCAATATTGGGGACATAAACATTGACGTCAGTTACTGTCTACCAACTTTGGCTAGCAGCCAGCTCTCACCACAGAATGACTCCAGATGTATTTAAATACAGTGGAGACAGTTTACTGTCTGCATTAGCTGAAGTTCTAGGCAGAGTCTGGGAATCAGAGGAAGTCCCATCGGGTTGGTGTAAGTCATTGATCATCCCGATATACAAAAAGGGAGACAAGTCTTCTTGTGATAATCACAGAGGGATTAGCTTGACTAATATAGTATCTAAAATCCTAGGCTCAATAATACTGCGTAGACTAAATGGTGCTCGGGAGGCACAAACACAAGGAAACCAGGCAGGCTTTAGGCCAGGAAGAGGGTGTATTGATCATATCTTCACCCTTCGACAGATTCTAGAACATAGGCATTCCTACCGGCGTCCGACAATCATTATATTTCTTGACCTAAAGGCAGCGCATTCGATTCTGTCGACCGAGAGGTTCTCTGGCGATGCTTGGCTGTGAAGGGAATTCCGAAAAAATACATAGCACTGATTAAGGCACTCTACTCGTACTCATGCAGCCAGATGAGGGCTTTTTGGTGAGTTGTCATCTGAAGTGGTGACGACTAGTGGCGTCCGTCAAGGATGCCCATTATCCCCATTCCTATTCAACTTCATCATAGACGTACTAATGGACTTAACCCTAACACACTTCAGCGACTCAGGGATTGACTTGTTAGCACCGGGGAATAATCTCGTTGACTAAGAATATGCGGACGATATAGTCCTTTTAGGCGAGTACGCTGACAAAATAGAGCAGAATCTTCTGAACACCTTGAGCTGCAGTTTACGAATGTTTGGCGTGCGAATCGCTCTCGCCAAATGTAAGATTATGACACAGGACTGGACTACACTGACTTCTAGTTTAGAAATAGGGAGTGAAGTGGTAGAGCTCGTTGACCGCTTCACTTACTTGAGAAGTACCATCAGCCAACCCCAGCGGGTTGATCTCTGACGAAATGTCAGCACGAATACAAAGGGCTAGTTTCGCATATGCCAGTTTACGCCGTCTCTGGCATAGTAGACGTGATATCCGACTCGCTATCGACCAAAGGGCGTGAATACTGCTTAGCAGTCCGCTCCGTCCTCCTTTATGGCTGTGAGCAAGACCTGGCCATTCAGAGTGGAAGACATGAAAAGATTAGCTGTCTTTGATCATAGTTGCCTGCGCTCTATCTCCTGTGTGAAGTGGTATAATAAGATGAGCAATAATGAGGTCAGGCATCGAGTACTAGGTAGGTGGGAGGGGAAATCAGTCGACGAGACTGTGAAGCTACACTGACTGAGATGGTAGGACATGTGTTACATATGCCTAGTCATCGATAGCCTTCCTCGACAATGGGCAATGTTAGCTGATACAGGGTGGATAAGGTTGGAAAAGAGGTAGCTAGTGGTGGTCAAACCAAAACATGGCACCAGTCAATGAAATCTACAATAGTTAGTCTAGGCCACGTAGGAAGATGTAGACTTCCTGGTTGGGGTCCTCGGGACGGTAAAAACCAATGGTTGGAAACAATTGGTGACATGGCTCAAAATCGTTGTCAACGGTTGGCGCAGATGCATCCACTCCTTGTGACTTATGATTTTCAATGAAACAGTTTTGTTCTTCGTTATTAGTATTCCTTTGTCTCACACCTCTGTTTACTGTCTATATTATGCATTTCATCTACTTTCTTCTGTTGCTTTGTGTGCTACAAGGAGGGAGTGTGGCGACTTGAACTGGTGTCCATATGTGCAAAGTTCTTGGTCGAAAATAGACAGATGCGTGTTTGACGATTAGTAGTACTAGAACTCACAGTCTCTCTATACTCTTGAGACTGTGACGAACATATTATGATGGTGATTCACCGGTTATAATGTTCACTAGACACACTCAGAGTCCGGGTTCGATTCCTGACAGACGTGTACTCCTAAACCTCGACTAACTGGTAAATAAGTCATAAAAATATGAAAGGTTGGGTGTGGGGTTAGCTATTCCACACCATAAGAAACACTATATATATATATATATATATATATATATATATATATATCGCGAATTACAAGTTAGCATTTACAGGCCACTGGATCGAGTCTGACTGGCTGACACTGTATTTAGCCTGCTTCACATCCCAGTTGCTTTAATCTGCAGACTTATCGATTAAGGTAACATCTATTTTCGTTTAACTGGTGGGTGCGTACTGTTGAAGAGTCCCAAACTAGACTGACGAAACAGCTGTCCATTGCATTCAGGTTTTCCAAGGGTTCTCTAAGCAATGTCAGCTCATGATTAAAATCCTGTAACCAATCTACCGAATCCCTACAAACCAATATTTGAACATCTATTTTCGTTTAACTGCCTTAAATCTTATATATATATATATATATATATATATATATAAAGTTCATTTTATATACTCTTTTCTGTATTCTAAGTGTGTTGCACATGTTGTTATTAGATCTGAGTTTTTAGAAAAAGCAGATAACAGCATAAGTCATTCACTATGTATCTACATATATGCATTTAAGCGTTTATTTGCTTGTGTGTGTGTGTAAATTTTTGAACGAAAAATCAATTTTTGATTTACATTCAAAACTGGTAGGTTAGTAAGACTTACTCTCAGATAATAAAAGCTGATAATGATTGTTATAATATGCATAATATTAGTAGTATATATATGTACATATACATGTGCCTATTTACATGCAATTCAATCTGTTATTATTATCTTTTTTCCTCCTCTCACGTTGATTAAACGATTAAATGATGAGAACATAATTCACGTTAAACGGCTCCTCCTTGGTCCGAGATGGACATTTAGCATTCCTGATGAGGAAGAGAATGAGGATAAGATAATGGGGGTGGGAAGCAGACGGACTAAATCATCTGTACATTTAATATTATTACAACAACTATTACTTTACACTGTCAGTATTTAATAGTTTAATTATTTTATAGTTGTGTTTTTTTGTACTGTTCCAAACTTGCTATGATTCCCTTGGAAGAGTTCATTTTTATATAGGTACCATTTTTTCGTCATTAATTAATAATCAATTTTAGTAGATAATTGGTGTGCAAGGGACATGTGTACTGCTCACCAGTTCGCTCCGTCCTTCTCTATGGCTCTGAAACATGGCCAATACGAGTTGAAGACATGAAAAGGTTGACTGCTTTTGATCATAGATGTCAGGCGTAGAGGGTTGGGCAAAGAGGAAAAATCAATCGAAGAGAAGAGGCTATAAAGTTACATAGATTGAGATAGCTAGGTGACGTGCTGCACATGCCTAACCATCGCCTCCCCCACCCCGACGGGCATCACTAGCTAGCTGATATAGGTGCAGGTTGGAAAACAGTAAGTGAAGTGGTGGCCAAACAAAAACATCGCATCAATCAATCCATGAAATCATTCCTTGACAGTTAAACTGAGTCAAGTCAGGTAGGGAGATGCAGACTTCCGGGTTGGGGCCCGCCCTCGGGACTGTAAGAATCAATGGCTGGAGACAGAGAGACAATAGGTGACATGGCTCAAAATCGTTGTCAATGGCTAACGCACATGTATTCAGTCTCTGTAATATTCAGTCTCATATTCCTTTCTAGCATTACTCATTCCGTTTCACTCTTATACTTGTCAAAACTCTATTGATTCTCTTCACTCATCTTCGTGTCTTGTCTACCTTTGTGTGGTACTTGGAACGTGGCAACTTGAACTGCTGCACTTCGGTGCCAAGTTCTATGTCGAATCCAAGCAGACAGATAATTGTTGTATCAGTTCGATTAGTTTGAGATATTGTTAATGTAAGTAATAATAATAATAATTATTATTATAATGCTCCCTAGTGACGACTAGCTACAGGAAAGAGTTGCCTGGTGTTCTGGAGTGAGAAGTCGTGACTAGTGGGATCCATTCAGGGAATAGGATGGATCCATCCAAACGGAAGTGAAAATGGAGTTCCCGCCGATGATATTGGTTGGTAGTCGCGCTAAATGCATCACGAATTGGTAGAAGTTAGAATTCAAGAACTGGCCATTGAATTGGGTCCCCGTGGCTGAATAGTGGTATACAAGCTAGCTTGCCTTGTAACCGGAAGGTTCCAGGTGGTTGCGTACTACCGATGAGTCCCAAACTAGGATGAAACACCTGTCATGTTATCCCTCGTTGATTTTTCATGGTTCACTAGGTGATATCCATCCGTATTCTATTATTATTACTATTATTATTGTTTCCTTTAATTCCTAGAGGAACATAGGGCTTCAGCCGTACGTCTCCATTCCCTTCCGTTCTCTGGTAGAGGCTTCACCTGGCTCCAAGTCTGCCTACACGCTCTCATCTCCTCTTCACATGACCTCCTCCAAGTCACCCACCCTCTCACTGACGACCGACTCGCCGCTTCTCTTTCGGGTTCCACTCGAGCAATAACTTGTCTAGTGATTTCACTTGATGGTTTGTTTCCTCAGAGTATGGCCAGCCAATCCATCTCCATTTCTTCCTGCCTATTTGTTTCACAATCGGTTCCTGCTGATAAATGTTCTTACAGGTTGAACCATTTTGAAAATATTGGTTGGATAGTAATTTTACTGAAAGCAGTTAACTGAAAATGAAGAAAAAAATGAAGGGGATGAAAAACGAATCCTAAGGAAAAAGGAACCGAACTAGATCCCCATTGTAAACGTAGAGGTTGGACTAGTTTCTTTTGAACATACAACTCTGGTTTCATCATGCATATGGCCGAGGGCTTCTGCAGAACAAAGAATCAGAAAACCCGCCGCCTTTGGTAGATTTTTGTTTACTTTGTAAATGACTCTGAATGGGATGAGAGTCAGTTGAGATTCTGTGACAGGTGTTAACGAGGTTCTCAATTATGACACTTCTGATTGAACCAGTATCTCCTCTTTGCAGCCATGCTGCGTAATGTCCTCTAACACGTTTTGATAGGACCCGAATCTAACGTCACGGCTCCACACGAGCCGATGAACTGATATATGCACATTGAAGTGGTCATATGTGAGAGTCTGTCCTTCACATTGCTTCGAAGCAGTGGGTGGCTAGAGTTGCTGCAGGAAAACTCTTCTTTAGGGAATTGGAGATTTTCCTCTTAAGGATATCTGCAACTTAGTCTCCCTTCAAAGTTCAGATTCAAGTATTCAAGTGTTTTCTTTGGTAATGAAGTGCACTCTCCTCTTTTTGGCCTTTTGGTTTCGTGATCTCCTCCACGAAGCGTGCCGGGTTATCGATTCTGAGCCAAGATATTTATGAGAAATAGCTCTTCTTCTAAGCAGTCACTGCCGCAAATTCCGGTACGGTGGGTCAGCGAGATGATGGAAGCTCTTTTTTTCGAGCGATAGGTATCCAACCATAGAAGTTTGTCCGTTGGTTATTCCATTATAGTTTACTGTGGATAGATCTTTTCAGAGTTCCATAGTCTCTTCTCGTCAATTCAACGTCCATAAATGGAATTGTTGACTCATTTTCTACTTCCAGTGTGAATATAATTGAAGGATGGCAATTGTTAGACTCCTGTAAAGTACTGTGTGTCGGTGGCACAGTGGTCAGGACGCTCACCGACCATGCACATGGTCCGGAGTTCGATCCCCGGCCACAGACGCACTCCTTTACCTCGCTAAGCCAGAAATAAAGCTGATAAGGACGAATGGTTGAGCATGAGGCTAGCAACCCCATCCTGTAAAAATTAAACTGTGCTACAGAAACTTCATGCCTCTAGCTTGAAGGTGCCCTATGTTCCACTGGGAACGTGAAGGAATAAAAAAGTACAGTTTAAATCAGAATCATTATGACAGAGCATAAAAAGTGTCGCTGACATACCCTTTGTCCATTAGCAATTTATCTATAGTTGATTTTAAGATCCCATTTTCTAAACTGTCCATAAAGCATTTTGCCAAAAGTGGACCAAGCGGAGAGAGAGCCTATGGCAGTCCCATCTTTCTGTTTGTAGATATCGTCGTTGAGGGTAAATTGTACACTAAATTCGCATCTCAGTAACAGTTTTTCCAGATATGAGGTTGGTATTTTGGTGCTCAGATTCTTTTTTATCCTTCACGTTCCCCAGTGGAACACAGGGCTTCAAGCTAATGGCTTGAAGTTTCTGTAGCAGTGTTTATTATTTTTACAGGATGGGGTTGCTAGCCTCATGCCCAACCTTTCCTCTTTACCAGCTCTATTTCTGGCTCAGCGAGGTAAAGGAGTGCGTCTGTGGCCGGGGATCGAACCCCGGACCATGTGCATGGTCGGCGAGCGTCCTAACCGCTATACCACCGACGCACTGCTCAGATTCTTTAACCATTGTAATCGACTTAAACTAGATAAAAGTCTCTTTAAGTCCTTTAAAATCACACTACTAACTTCGTACTGAATAATAGATCTGACTCTGTCATTTTAGATTTCGGACGTATTTGTATGCAGTGACGAAAATGATTCTTGTCGTCTTGTATTTCTTATGGATCAATCTGCTACTACAAGAAGGTTAATTGTGATTTTAATGACTTAGTATTTCTAAATGGGAACACTGACTACAAATAGTCTTTTGAACATGATGAGGAAACCCTAGGTACGTTTGACATGAATGGCAAATGTAAGCTAGTGGTTCATGACAAATTTTCATTGACTGCTAGTTTAAAGGGGGTGGGCTCATGACGTGATTAAATTTGTTGACCACTTCACTTATTTTGAATGTTGCACTATTGCCCAAGAAAATCTCAACTTAGATACAGAAGGCTTATTTGGCATTTGTCTGCTTGCATTATCTTTAACACTGACGTGATATGCGGATATCCACCACTGTCTGTCTGTCTGTCTGGATTCAACATAGAACCTGGCACTGAAGTGCAACAGTTCAAGTTGCCACGTTCCAAAGAGCACACAAAGGTAGACAAGACAAGAAGATGAGTGAAGAGAATCAATAGAGTCTGGACAAGTATAAGAGTGAAACAGAATGAGTAATGCTAGAAAGGAATATGAGACTGAATATTACAGAGACTGAATACATCTTCGTAAGCCATTGACAACGATTTTGAGCCATGTCACCTATTGTCTGTATCCAGCTATTGATTCTTAGAGTACCGAGCGTGTCCCAATCAACCCGGAAGTCTGCATCTCCCTACCTGACTTGACTCAGTTTAACTGTCAAGGAAGGATTTCATGGATTGATTGATGCGATGTTTTTGTTTGGCCACCACTAGCTAGCTGTTTTCCAACCTGCACCTATATATCAGTTAGCTAGTAATGCCTGTCGGCGGGGTGGGTGAGGCGATGGTTAGGCATGTGCAGCACGTCACCTAGCCATCTCAATCTATGTAACTTTATAGCCTCTTCTCTTCGATTGATTTTTCCTCTTTGCCCAACACTCTACGCCTAAGCTAACGTCAACATTACTTACCTTATACAACTTCATACAAGTAATTCCAGTGGAAGCAAATGACCAAGACACTTAATCCGTGGACATTATCTAATAGTGTTCAGGTTTTCCCGAACAAGGAACGTAAATTTACAACCCGATGATTTGTAAATGCAACCTCTGACAACCAGACTAACACATTACCAGAGGTGGTGACTCCAGACTGATGTGTGTGTACGCATGCTGCGGTGTTCAAGCTGTTATTGATTCAATGTTGTGATCACTGACTGCATCTATATATATCACCTGAAAGAAATCAGCCGTGTTCTTCACAAATCATGTGCAATTGCGTTTTGTTTATTCTTTGTAACTAGTTACTAGTCTCTATACAAAACTGGAATTTTACTCTACTTTATTGAGTACATATTTCTAGTGGTGACTAATGTTCATTTAGGAAGCAGAATGAATATATATTTAACTGTACAAAAATCATCATTCTCTTTCACTGTTTTTTCTCTCCATTCTCCTCTCTTTTTAGTGTTTGGTCATCGAATCGTTGGTTCTCTCCCATGACAAATGATTACAACTGTCTTGTCAACCAAGTAGGTGTAATGAATCAATGTTTTTTTCTATTTATTAATTAATAATAATTTGCTTTATTCCAGAAACAGTACTAGTCGTACAGTGTGGAATTTTCAGCACATATCTACAATATTTGCATCTAATTTTTATCCAACGTTTAAAAGGAGTATTTCAAAAAAATAACACAAAAAACACAAAATAATAAAAAAAAATGCTAAAAAATGCCAAGAAGTAGAAGGGAAAGTAAACAGCATATAATAATATCTCAGTATTGGGTAGTGGAAGCTATGATATGTTTATGCATGGTGACAGTAAAGCTATAGCCACACAAAAAGTTATGTAATGATATTTAAGAATGTTTGTCGCCAACATCATTTAATTTTATTGAACAACATTAAACAATCATAAAATAACATTTCAGGATTTTTTATTGTCAGATCTAATGCGGTGTTTGTGGTGGTAGTGTGAGTAATCCTGAATAATACAAAATTTTAAGATGGTGATAATGGCGTTCACAACCAATGATTGTCAGTTAATATTGCCGAAAAAATATTTTAAAAATAAGAAAAAAACAACCACAAAAACTAATAATTACATGATAGTTAATGACAGGACAACTTTATACTACTCATAGTGCTAATATAGTTGGAACCAGTAGATACACAATAGAAGGAATAGAGTAAAGTACAAAAAAGTGAGCCAATGTAAATAATTTAGATAGCTAAGTATGTTTAAGAAGGTGTTCACTATAGAAAACAAAATAAGAGTGAAATAAAAGAGCCTAAAATTATGTTATTAACAACAAAGCAAGTCATAGGTTTCGCGCTTAACATTGTCTCTGTCACTTAGAACACGGGCCAAATATGTTATCGTTGAGTTCCTGTACTTGGTTGTACGAGCATAGATTATTTTATACTGATTTCTGGTTCTACTTGATGAGATACAAGGCGAGAGTTGAGAATAGAGGGGGTGTTCGGGGTCGGAGAGTATGGTTTTTGACCAATTTTCGCATGTGTTCAGATGCCTTTCAACTAATGTAGAGACGAGCTGACTGAGTTTTACATCACTAGTCCTGCTAACTACCTTTTTTATTCATACCTGTAATCATTCTCAATTTCCATAACATGACTAACTACATAGATAAATTCCAGTGTGCATGAATAGTTCAACGAGAGAATTCTCGCCAACCATGCGAAAGGTCCGCTTTCGATTTTTCTGTCGACGCACTCCTAAACCTCGCCTGCCTTCCTAACCAGTAAATAATACTGTTTCATTGTGTGATGTACCTAATAAACAAACTAATATGGAATTACTTACTAACACAGTGCCCAAGTTTTACACATATATTAATGCCTTCCTAACCGCCAGTAAGTCTGAAAAAAATGCGGGAAGGTTGAACTTTTGGAGGCTAGCAAATCTACCTCATAAAAACATAACCCAAAGAAGGAGGATGAAACAACTGTCCAGTGCTTCCTCTCAATTTCAATGATTCTCTCTATAACTGATGTTGGTTCACGGCGAAATCGAATCAAATCAAAATTAGACTATGCAATCATTCATTGCACGGTGTGAATAAACATAGAAGATAAAAAATGAAAAGAATTTACACTTTTTGTTTCCTTAGGGAGAAATCAGTAGCTCTCCTGTTGAAGTCACAGATGTTTGAGAATTAACACTGATGTTATCCATGGTGAATGGCGGTAACATTATCGAAGTGTCCGTACTAGGAGTCGACATGTCTCTCAGCAAAAACCGAACATTTTCGGTTCAATCAACCAGGGAAACGAAAAATTGACTTAAGCACCAAGAAATAACTTATTCATGTTGCACAAGAGGAGGCTTAAGTGGTCCAATGGATAATGCTTTCACGCTTGAAACAATCGGTTCTGGGTTTAATCTTATCGGGAGCTCCACCGCTTACTGGGAACAGCAGATGCATACAGATGATGAGTCCGAAATGGGACGAAATGCGCATCGTGGATTCCACTGCTGGTCATCACTTATCAGATAAAAATCAATGAGTATCAATGTATGCTACGTGGTTAGCGAGTGGTTCAGTAGTGGAATATTGGCCAGCCAGCCACTCACTTGATCCAGATTCGATTCTCCTGATTCACTAGCCGGTAGTAAGTCCGAAAAGGTTGAGTGTGAGCCTACTCCTACTCCGCAAAAAGAAACAACACGGTTAGTTAAATTGCAACGCCTAAAGTCTTTTGTTACACTTGGGACGCAAAGGAATGGGTATATATATTTAAACAATTAGTCCCTTTGATAAATTTGAATAAGGCATTTAGAAGATAACTAATGTGGTTAACAATAATAAAATAAAGTTCATGACAATTACTCAGTTAAATAAAAAACAAAAGTACATACTGATGACCAATCATCATATTTAGATAGGTCATGCAGTCCATGGTAGGCGAAGATTGAAGTCCATTGTGTTTTGTACACACAGTTTAGGCTTTATGTGATCAATCCCCGGAGTGCTTCCATCACCTTCAATAACCAACCTTGAATTAGAGTTATGTGATGAAATAATTATGAAACAGTCATTAATTAATATTGATTTTGTGACCTGACTGACATTAATAAGTGTTTTGCAATGGATGATGCTGGATTTCTATTCAGATTAATCGCGTTGGGATTTTCTAAATGATTTAGTAGCCATTTTGGAACATGTTCTTTCCGACGACATTGGAACATTCTGTTGGTTCTACCTATATAGGTGTCACTGCAGCAACCGCAGGTGAACTTGTAGATACAGTTTGAAGTAGAGTCCACAGAATTTCGTCCTTTAATCGTAGGTACAGGGATCGAGAGGAAAGAGATGCGGCGTAGAATGTGCGTTTGATGGCTGACTGAAGTCTTTGAGTTAGCTGTCAACTGCATAATCTGGTCACCACTGAATGGTAGGTTAGTTAATAAAGATAGCTTTCTTTGGTACAGAAGCTGTCTTTTCGAGATGTGATCTTTCTTTACTGTGACAAGTGATAAAGTTTTCCGGATAACCATTAGCTAATAAAACCGAATGTAGAAATCGAAATTCATCCATCACTGTGTCACTTGTGCATATTTTTCGGGCCCTTGAGAACAAACATTTCACCAGGGAACGTTTATACTGGATCGGAAAAAATACTGGTAAAATCATATAGAAAATCTCAATGCGAGTAATCGGAATAGAAATCCAGCATCATCATCCATTGCAAAACACTTATTAATGTCAGTTAGGTCACAAAATCAATATTAATTAATGACTGTTTCACAATTATTTCACCACATAACTCTAATTCAAGGTTGGTTATTGAAGGTGATGGAAGCACTCCGGGGATTGATCACATACAGCCTAAACTGTGTGTACAAAAAACAACAATAGACTTCAACCTTCGCCTAACATGGACTTCACGACCTATTGTAAATATGATTGGTCATTAGTATGTACTTTTGTTTTGTTTCATTTAACTGAGTAATTGCCATGATCTTTATTTTATTATTGTTAACCATGTTAGTTGTAAAGCGGTTGTAAAAAAACTAATCGAAATGACAATGTCATCTGGCGAAATTTGTCTTCTAAATGCTTTATTCAAAAGTATATATATATGTACTACTTCTGTCTACAGTAAAATTCCCCATAGGCGTACAAATATTCACTGAATTAAACGCTTCACTTGTATGCCCAAAAGGTTTTAGTGAAATCTTCTCATGATGACTAAAAGCTGATTAGTGTGTCTAAGAAGTTCACGTCTAAGACACAGATTAGCAACACTAACCCGTCAATTAGTTAAAACTACTCTGTATATGCTAACTTGACATCATTCATTGAAAGAAAGAATAGAAGATTATCGATTAGGGCATGGTCAGCCCTATATAGGTAATTACATTCAATTGCAGAATGTATCAAAGTCGTGATATATATAGCAGCTAACTAGGTCAGAATAAAATTCAATATGTTCTTCATATATTTTTTTTTCTTTCTTTCTTTCTTTCGAATCAATAATTTATTTTTTCTCTCTTGTTTCTTCAAGGTATGATTTTAGTCAACCCAAAATAATAATAATAATATTTTAATAATTTTGACGTAGATTTCGTGATGAACCAGTGTAGGCTAGAGAATCACTAGGAAAAAGGAAGAGGAGCACATGACAGATGTTTCGTCCTAGATTGAGATTCTTCAGCATATTGCACATCCTACAATCTACCAGAAATCGTAACTACTAGGATATTGATTTACGGAGCAAGCCAGTTGACCCCCATTCAGCCACTAGGGGGGGGCTGGCTTTCGAGAACCTGTGATCTCTAGCTGCTGTCAGTTCGTGAGACATAGCGCCAGTTTATGAGATTGGTGTGCATCCGAGACACACCTGTAGCTGTTCTGTGCTCCTTGGTTTTCCATGGTGTTCTAAATGATGTCGGTCGGTTGGTGGTGGCAAAATTGACACTGAAATCAACCAAAAAAGTACCTCTACCAAAGACAAAATCTGAATACTAATTTTATTTCCGATTTGTTCATGAACTGACTTCTGTTTGAAAAACAGTTGAATTCTAAGGAGCATTGGACGGGCAGTAGTTTGTATTTTTTCGGAACGCTTTTAGCGCTCATGCTATGTACATCTAGAATAGGTGGAAATTGTAATTCATAGGCCACTAGATTCCGTCCCAGTGCAGTGGCTGTGATGAATCGTCTACGAGCACGTCTTGTAATCTAAGCGTTCTGTATTCGATCCATGATGTGTGAACGTGGGCGCGTCCCGCTGAAGAGCCGTAACGAAGGCCAAAAAACTATCTAGTAGCGTCAGACAGTGGGAAACGAGAAGACAGGGATATCCTGGACTGACATGAAGGACCCAGAAGACCTGGATTTCGCGGATGACTTATGTTTGATGTCACACAAAATCGAAGACTTACAAGCGAAAACCAACCAACAACAACAACATCCACCGCCAATCACCATCAACGGAAGGGATTTGAAAGAGGTTACTTCATTCACTTATCTAGGGAGGGAGCATTCATTGTCTCAACTACA